GCCCTTCATCCTGGGCAGGATGCACCTGCTAAAGGAATCTGTGCTTGGAGCACTTCATTCCCAGCCGTAAATTGTGGTGCCCAACAGCTGGAATCGTGAGGGGGAGCGGGAATGGTTTCCCAGCAGGGTTTACAGTGGGGGCCCAGGGAGGGTATCCCTGTTAATTCCCACTTTGGAGCCCTGTGGACATCCACAGCCTGGGTAAAGGTGTGGTCTTGCCCAGAACAGAATTCCCCAGAGCTGGCATGGACCCGCCTGCGGGTGCAGGAAACATTTAACCCAGCGGTGACAACCCTTTTTTAATTTTTATTCATATACATGATGAGTTCATGATTGAGCACAAATCTTACAGCTCCAGTGAATTTTGCTTCCTTAAAAAATTCCCTTTGCAGTTCGCTGCAACTGTTTATCTGCTTTAATTTTCTTTTTTTTTTTTTCTTTTTTTTCTGTTCTTGTTATTTTTAAATGAACTTTCAGATGTCATTATTTCTTCCAGACTGGAGTGAAATGAGAAAGTACCTGAAAGGGTTTAGGGTGCCAGCCTAATCATTGAATCCGGCCTTGCTGCCTGAAAATTTCAAAGCTTTAAAGCCTTGAAAAGGGATTCAAGTGGAAGTGGTGACACGTAGCAGCATAAATAATTATCTTTGGGCCCTTTCACCTCTGAATTCTTTTTTTACAGCGTACAGAACATGGTCTGAAGAGGTTAATAAACGCGCTGCCGCAGAGTGCTTACAAAATTAATGCAGCTGCCATGGATCTGGGGGGCTCCCTGGGAGTGGGGCTTTGCTGCCTTCCAGCTCTCCCAGAGAACCAAAGAATGAGCTTGCTGGGGTGGTGCAGGTGTTGGGCAGTTTTATTCCAGCCCGGAGCAGCACACAACGGAGCGTCCGCATCCGCGGCTGCTGCACCACCCCCAGACCTCCACTTTGTCCTTCCCTGCTGATGGTTTGGAAGGGTTTTTTAAGGGATGTGGCCAACTTGTTTATTTTTTAAATTGAGTTCATCAAGCCTGGAAACAAACCTTCCTGCATGGGCAGGCTGCAGGAGCCTCCCTGGCAGGTCTGCTCACTGGCTCCGTGGTTTCCGTGGTTATCCCGGCCGCCGTGTGCTGTGAGGAAGAGAGATTTCTCTTTTCAAGGAAGGGAAGCCCCTTTTTCCTTCCACACCCAAAATCCCTGAGTAAAGAGCAAACCAAGCCTGTAGCTGGTGTTGGTGCATCACCTTTAATTAACTTGCTGGTCTCTGCAATGTACCAGGTTTGGAAATAATTTTGAATGCTTCATGGAGGCTCTGTGAAATTTTCAAACGGATTTTTCCACTGGATACTTGATGTACCAAATGCCTGAATTTAAGTACAAATGTACATCTGATTTGGAGTCATTTCCAAAGTGGGATTTGGATCTCTTTGACCTCTTATTAAAGGGAGCGAGTGCTGGAAAATGCCTCTTCTACAACAAACAAGCTTTCGTTTTTCCTTAAAATACTTTTGTGTAAAAATGCTGAGTGTGAGCTGCCCCACGTCCCTGGCTCCAACATTTGTCCCTTTGCAGCGGGGCACAGCAGAGGTGTCACAGGTGGGAAGTCCCTTGCCCACCGTGCTGCCTGGGGATGGATTTATTTGGGATTCCTGCGCAGCTCCGCTCTGCACCAGGCAATCCAGCCCCAGCCGTGTTTTTGGGAGACTCCAGAGTTGGATAAGGGATGCTCAGCCCTGCCCCTGGCACCTCTCTGTGCAGAGGATGTTTTGTCCCCGTTCTGTATGGCGCCTCGAGCTCACTCCACTTGTTTACTCGTGCTGCTAATCCCAAAAATAAATGCTTGCTTTTGTTTGTTTGTTTGCAGGCGTACGGCCCCGGGAGGCCCTTCCCGCTCCCACCTCCTGCAGGAAGGTACAGCTGGAATTAGCTCCTGCCTCCTGGATTTTTTTAAACGTGGAAAATGTCTGGGGTTTTTGCTTTTGTTCTTTTTATTATTTGTGGGGCGAGGGGGGAAAAAAAAAAAATGAAGTTGTTAAGCACCATCCCTGTAGTTTTTAAACGGATGCCTGTTTTAAATGTGCACATTTCTTACGGACCTGATGATGATTTTTTGGGAGGGACTGGAAGAGAGCGGATTGCCGTCGGATGAGGTGGGAGTGCTGCGTTGTCCTCCTTACATATCCAAGCTGTGCCGAGCGCTGCCCGCCACTCTGAACTCCAAACATCCTCTACTCCACACACAAGAGCCTGAAAACAGACAAGGAGTTGGAAAGAATGCCCAGAAATGGGATTTTTATGAACTCTCGGGGCAGACCCGGCAGGCAGCCGGCGGCACTGGAAGACACGGCCCTCGCTGCTCCTTGGCAGATGCTTCCTTCGGCTTCTCGGACTCTGAAGTAAAACATTTCAACTTTTTGGATGTGTGCCTGTTTCTGGCGTGGGTTTTGTCATGGCATAACCAGGCAGGGGCCGTGGGTTTGTCTGTTTGATGCCTAATTTAAAACGGCTGCGAAGGGCAGAAATTCCATTCGTTTTTAGCACTCTTTCTAGGGATTTTCTGTGTGAGTGTACCAAATCAGTAAATATTTTTATTTGCTTTATAAAGTGGCTTTTGAAATTCTGAGCAGTGGCGTGTGGTTAATTTCCAGCCCCCTCCAGAGCCTGTTTGTATCTTTCACCTGTGTGCACGCATTCCTGTTGATTTATTGGAAAATAATTCCACCTAACCTCTACCATTTAAAAATCTTTGTTTAATAAAAAAAAAAAAAAAAGAAAATGAGGAGAGCATCCAGTTCAGCTTTCCCTTTGGATTTTTCCATTATATCCAGGTATTCTGTAAATCAGTAAAGTTCCCAGTCCCTCTCTGGCCCCAACTCCTTGGTGCTCCCTTCTTTCCAAACATCCAGGTGTTAATCACCAGCAACTGGGGCAAAAGCCCTGACAACCCCTTTTAACTTGGAAGGAAGAAATCAACTTGGATTCATTATTTTCAAATGATGGAAGGTGGAGCAGAATCCTTCATTGTGATGCAGCATTCCCGGGGCTGGGATCTGCCAGCCCTCCCCAGGGCCTTCTCCTGCAGCTGGGAAAAGATTGGGGTGCTCAAAAAGAGCCCTTTTTGCTTTTCCAGCAGGACAAAACCAGCTCTGAGGGCGAGTTTTCATGGGAATGGGCTGGAGGAAGGAGTGCGGTGGGTCGCCTACATTCCAAAGGTGAATGGACTCGGGTGCTGGTGGCTTTGTCCCTTGCTCCCATTTTTTTGGGGCACAAAAAGTCTGGGTAAACATCTGGGGGGGCTGCTGTGGGAAAGTGGGAAAGGCTCATCCCTGCAGGCTTCACTTTGCCCAACCCTTCACCCCCTTGCAGTCTGATCCCCAGTGGAGCCAGCCTGGGCCCTGGGAGCTGTGCTGTCCCCTCGGACCCTTGGAATGCTGCTAGGAGCAGCCTGGGGGCTTTGTTGGATGCAGGACCTGGCTGGGCAGCACCACCCTACCTGGGGCTCTGCTTCAGCTGCCTGTGCCCTCGGGGGCTGGGGGTCACCCTGGGACAGCATCCCTGTGGGAAACCTCAGGCTGCTTTGCTGACACATACTTTTTTTTTTTTTCCCAGGCTGGAGCTGAGCCCGACATATCCCCTTGGATTTAACAGTTTGAGGGGGAAGCCACTCACCAGGCTGGGCTCAGTCCCATCCCAAACACTCTAGGCCGTTTCCCATGCGACCCAGCAGGGAGAAATTCTCCCTCATGGAAAGGGGAGGGAGCTGGGGGGGATCTCTTTCCAGAAGAACGGTGGAGATTCCCTTCCCCTCCAGGCTCCTGCATGGGGCCTGGGGACGGGTCTGTGGTCTAGCAGAGGCCAAAATCCCGATTTTCCATCTCAGAATCGTTCCTTCATGGCACAGCCGGGAGTTGGAGAGGCCCCTGGCACTTCCCGGGGCTGTGGAGCCCCGCCGGGGCTGGGATTCAGCGGGTCCCCCAAGGATGGGGGAGCCTGGCAGAGGTGGCAGGGCCGTGGAATTAAATCCTTGGCAGCCGACAGGGAGGCAGAAAAAAGGGGATTTTGAGGTTGTCCTTCAGTCCGCACACCGAGAAAGAAACAGCCGAGTCGTGAGAACAAGGCTTCCTTTTATTGTTTAAAATAAAATTAAAATAAAAAATAAAAGAAAGAAAAATTGCCGGAAAGTCCCGAGGAGCGTTTCCCGACGTGCGGGATTTCCTCGGAAAGCGGCGCGGGGATAAACCCCGCTCCGGCGCAGCGCATCCTCCGGCCCCGGCTGCTGCGGGGTCCGATCCCGGCGGGAAGCGGGGTCCAGCCCCGGGAATCCCCGGGCTCTCCGTTACCTCCGCAGGGCTCTGAGCTCGTCGGGAGCTGAGCCAAGGGCCGGGAGATTGAAGCGGTTCCGCGGGACGCGCGCCCCGTCCGCGCACGGGCATTCACTAACTGCGCGGTGTTTAATAACAACAACGAGAAAAACGGGGTTTTCCCCTTAAATCCGAGCACCGGCGCTGCAGGGCTCTCCTGCCACGGCTCCCGCCTCAACCGAGCTGCGGCTCAATTTACCTCGGACGGAGATAAGAACGGAACGGCACCCGGGGGCACCCCCACGAAATTAATTCGGCCGAGACGAGGGTTTATCGTGGCGCTCCGCGGTACGCGCCGGGGCTCCCGGGCTGCGCTGCCGCCGGGGCGAGGGGCCGGGCCGGAGCGGAGCCCCGCGCTGCCCCGGCTGCCCCCGCCCCGTCGGGAGGAGCTCTCGGCGGCCGGGACACGGAGGCGCGGACACGCGTGCACGCCAACACTCACTCACACCCACGCTGACTCACACTCACGCAAGCACTCGGCGCTGCCGTCGGGGCCGTTTGTCCAAAAACAGCAGAGACTTAAAAAAAACTCGAAGGGAGGCCGGGAGGGGAGCGGGGGTGGGGCGGCCGTCGGCGATCCCCGCGGGCACCGGGCAGGGCGAAGCGTCCGGTGCCGGAGGAGCGGGGCTGTCGGGGGAACACGCGCGGGACGCACCGATTACCACGTCCTGCCGTAGAGCAGGTTGGGGCTGACCATGCCGCCGTTGTAGTCGACGCCGGCCGAGTCCAGGGGGGCCAGGGGAGCCACGGGGCCGTGCAGCGCCGGCGGGCTGGGCGACAGCTCCTCCAGGTCGGCCGCCTGCCCCAGCGAGCCGGGGTGCGGGCGGCCGGCCCGGGGCCCGGGGTGGCGTTGCCCGGCGGCGGGCAGGGTTTGCCGTCCTTCACCAGCACCGGCACGGCCACGCGGCGCGGCGAGGGCTGCTGGCACAGGCCGCCGCCGCCGCCGCCGCCGCCGTCGGGGTGCAACTGCTGGGCGGCCGCCTTGTCCTTGGCCTGGCGCTTCATCTTGTAGCGGTGGTTCTGGAACCAGATCTTCACCTGCGTGGGGGTCAGGTGGATCAGGCTGGCCAGGTGCTCCCGCTCCGGCGCCGACAGGTACTTCTGCTGCTTGAAGCGCCGCTCCAGCTCGTAGACCTGCGCCTGCGAGAAGAGCACCCTCCTCTTCCTCCGCGGCGCCGCGTGCAGCGGCACGATGGCCTTGGCGCCCTCGGCGATGCCGCTCAGGCCGCCCATGCCGGCCACGTTCATCCCCGCCGACGGGCCCATGAACCTGGAGACTGAGCGGGGCGGCCTGCTCAGCGCCCGCCCCGTCGGGGCCGCGGCTCCCCCCGCGCCCGGCCGCCCCCCTCCTCCTCCTCCGCCGCGCCCCCCGCGCCCGCACTTACTGCTGGAGTAGCGGGGGTCGCCGCCGGGCCCGTACCAGCCGCCGCCCGCCGCCGCGCCGCCCCGCATCCCCTCGGGGTAGGCGGGCAGCTCGCCCACGTTGCCCAGCCCGCCGTTGCAGTAGCCCCCGACGGCGCCGTGCGGGAACTGCGAGACGCCGTGGGGCATGTGGTAGGCGGCCGCGCCCGCGGGGACGTGCTGCGGGACGGCGGCGGCGGCGGGGGGCACGGACGCCTGGCGGTACGGCCCGAGGGGCGCGCCCAGCCCGCCCGCCCCGTCCATGCCGCCGAACTTCTTGTAGCTCTCCTCCATCGGGCTGAGGATGTCGGTGACCGAGAAGGGCGTCGTGTGCTTGGGGCTCAGCGACATGGCGCGGCGGGGCGGGACGCGACGGGGCGGGCCGGGCCGGGCCGG